TTTGTTAATTAAAATCTCGGTAACTATTGCGAATCTAGCAAAATGGTATAGGACTTTTCACCTTAGTTTTATTCCTTCTACCTGTGTACGAGCGATGTTAAACCAATTCTGGGACACCCTGTATATATATATACTCTAATAGGCAAATTGTGACAATATTGCACAAAAATGGCATCATGAATAACGACGATCCTGCAATGATTGGAGTAAGATGATTCGCCATAACGCAACAGTTGTGTCGAAATAAAAGTTTGTAAAATATATTTGTCAAAAATTGTGGAAAACTCAGTACGCAATTCCATAAATATATACAGGAATTAAGTTTATTTCTTCATATGCATTTATATTTCTACATATTTTAAACATCACATAGCTGAAATTTCGTTCTCAATTATTAGACAATTTCTTTTTGAAATTAATTTTGCAATTATACCGTTAAGATGATTCGTCATATCTAAATTCTTTTGCCGGAATAGTATTTGGAAAGTAATTTTGGAAACAACTACAAATATTTTATAAAAGATCAATGCTTTTACATCTATTTCCTAAAATATATCTGTATAATTGCAAATTACAATTTTAGTGCAAGATTTTGTCACATAATTTTGTAAATATTTTCTTATCAGGGTATATACATGTGTGTATTATATATATATATATAGATAGATATAGAATATTATATATAATATATATAATATTTTCTTTTTTACTCTTTTCCCTGTCACGTGTTGTTTTTCTATTCTTCCTTTTTTCTTTTATTTTTCGAGTTTGATTTTCATGCGTTATTTCTGACATCTCTCATATAGACATCATGTGTGTATTATATTGTTTGTAAAACGTATATGTTAGCTGTCATTGCAGCGACAGGTTGTGTTCACTGACACAACGTTAAAATAAAAATAATACTAGCGTAGCGCGCGTCTGTGTTGTGCTAATACAGAAGAAATAATGTTGTGAAGATAAAACAAATTGTATTCAAATGTCTTCTTTAGTTTGTTGGAACAGTTGTCGGAGTTGGGAGACCTCTGATGGGAGAGAGTAGGTAGGTTACGCGAGAATAAGTGGCAAGGGAGTCGGTAAAGTAGATAAGCGAAAAGAAGCGAGATGATAAGAAAATGATAAGAAAAAAACTGACAAGAGAAAGAAATATGTACATACGAGTATAAGAGAGCGATAAGAGATACCTTGATATATTTTGTATTGTGATTTTGTATTTTGATTTTTGATTTTCGAATTAAATTAATTTTATAACTATTTATTATTTAAATAATAAAATTACTTCTATTAAGATATATGTATATGTATCTCATGTATATAGAATAAAATCTAATACTTTTTTACTTATCAGCAAGTTATAAATAACAATAAAATCCTCTAGCTTATATTAAAGAACTTTATAAAGAAGTTGAAAGCTCTCTGTAGGATCAGACAAGACGTTTCAAACATAGAATATACTTTGGCATAGAAGACACATAGGGTGCTCCGCATTTGGGAGCTAAGCGCCCAAGAGGCGCTTAACGAAATACCCGGGAAAAGCGTAAATCCCGCATGCCACTAGAAGCACGAGTAGCGTGCATAGGAAGCAGCACACTATCCGCCATTTATAATAGCGACAAACGACAAACCAGCACGCTCTCCACGGATTGCGGAACCAAGAAAAGGAAGTATCCGGTCGTCTGCAAAAAAAATTTACACGTGTACGAAATATATATATATATACTTGAAATTATATGCACGAGGGAAATATATACCACATTTATTTTAATTTTCTTCTCAAATTGAAGTAACGTGGATTTTTCCCTCGTGTTTTTTCGACTCGGCTGAAACGAGAGCACGAGAAAATACAAACCTAGGAGGCGGAAGACCTTGAGGTGGATCTCTCCCCTTACCAGCCGGTTCGTCGTCCGCGTCTTTCGCTCGCAGAACAGACATTTCCAATTCAACTTTGCCCTGTAATACGAGAGAAGAGAAACACACACATAAAAAAAAAATAAAATAGGCTCATTCTTGATTCTTATGTATATCTGTGGCAATCTTGAATATCGCGTTTCATAATTGATGAAAAAAGTTTTTTTTTTTCTCGGGAAAAAGTGCTCGCTCTCGATACTTCACCGCTTGGACGTACTCTCCGGCGGCGATGCTGCGCGCGAACGGCCACCAGGCTCTGGTTCGCGTAATTTTGAATAAATTCACCGTGGGTAGATGCGGTTCGAGTAATTTCAACGTACAGCTTTTGGAGTTTGAACTGCCCCGTGGCATTCTCGACAGGTCCAGTGTCAACTCTCCTGCACGCGTTAATTAATTCGTAAAAGGATGCTCGACAATTAAGCGGCACGTCATAAATTGCACAATTAATTATAAACTTTGGTAAACACATCTAACACACATCCTTGTACGTTAGATACTTCCCGTCCTCTGTGTATGTGTGTGTGTAAAGCCCCCATAGCGCTATATATATAATTTTCTGGTTCGTTACTCGATGAGCTCGAAATATTCCTGCGTACGGTGTGTAATACGAATACATAATTTCCGATTACCTAGAAAATCGTCCGGGGAAAAGTGATCACTGTCCCAGACCTGCACTCGCAGTTTGCACGGCAGTTTCTCCTCCGTCTCGTTTTTCGCGAACACCGAGACCCTCCTGCGGACTATCATGGCGTTCTCTCCCCTCGAGTACGTGACGCGAAATACAAATCTCCAATTAAAGTTACCCTCGCCGTTGAGTGAGTTATAGTGAACATCGGTTTTTTGATAGTCCTCATACAAAATCCATCTATAAAAATAGTTTTCGAAAAAAGAAACATACGCGAGTCGGCTCTTTGCAAAATCGATACGGCCACACAGGTTTTGGCGATGTAAACTAAATTCTGAACAAATTTGCTTATTTTGTTACGTTTTTCAAGTTGTCAAAAGACTCTCTCGGGAAAAGACTCTTCTTACATTTCTTCTTCTAACTTATATAAAGATCGTACCCTTTGACATAAATGTCGGAGCTTTTCTCTCCGGTAAGGAATTGGCTTTCGACCAATGGTACGTCCTCGGTGTTCCAAACGATCACGCGAATCTCGTACTCTTCCGGTATTGGAGGAGCGATGTTGACCGCCGGTTTCGGCGGCAACTGTCCGCCGGCTTGGAACATATCGATCCACATCTCCAACTTGCCCTGAATCAAGATTATTTTTCTAACTGCGGTAACCGCTGGCTCATGTTTGACATTTTACAAAAGCAAAACTTTGCGTTACGAAAATACAAAATTATAGTTTGCTATTTCTCTTTACGTAATTTTTTCTGTGATTTGTACCTTCCCTATGTGCTTGTTCTTTAGTTACACGACAATTAATTAGAGAAATGTTTGTGCAATACTCGAGCGCGGACGACATAATTAAGATATAAATATGGCGCTTTTCTTTTCTCACGAAACAGCATTGTTTGCACGACGATCACGTTTTTCTGAGAAATAGAGTTTCTTTCTTACAGTAAGACGAGTTATTTCACGAGTTATACTTGCTCGAGGCCGGGTCTCTTGGCGTTGAAAAGCGACCGTCTCTCGACGTGCTCCGGCACCAAGGCGCATCCACAAATGGGAAAATCTTGCCAATTATGAAGCACGTTCAAAGCAAGACGTTCGTCTCTGTCTGCATTAAGAGCATATCGCTTATTTAGCATAAATTAATTAACGGATCACCTCATCGTTTTTGAGAGCACACGGTTAGGTTTTGGCGCAACAAAACTCTCCGCAAAACAAAATCAAACATTTTTCGTCACGCGCCTCATCACGGAAATATCTCACGTACCGGTCTCGTTTCCGCGCTCGAACGTCAAGTCGAGACGAAACGTTCGCTTTCCAATCTTGACCTCGCGATCGCCGTAAATCGGCGACGGTAGATTGTTCTTTTTGCAGAGTAACTCCAAAATCTGCGTCGGCCGCTCGCGATCTCGCCAAGCGTTGTAACCGCCGGCGTTGTAAACCCTCGCGATGCCGCAGTGCGCTCGGTGCCGGCTGTAAAATCGATTCTCGATGTCGATTCGCGTCTCGCCGATTAGATCGTCGGCGGTCGTGACGTCGAAGTCCCACACTTGAATCACCAGCATGTAATCCCGCGGAAAGTTCGCCTCAATCTCAAATACGCTGCCAAGCAAATAAGTGAGAAAGTTCAAAATCACATTACAGTGATTAATGGTTTTTTCATTGCTCTCTTTGCACGGTTTTAAATTATAAAAACTTATATACATTATGTATAATATTATAAAAATATATATTATGTACCAAATGTATATGTTATACTATAAAAAATTGAGATTATTAATATTAAAGCCGCGATTTAAAATCGGTTAGCTGAAAAAGTTGATTAGCGCAGCGATATAAAAAGCGAGCTGTGTAAGAAAGTCGATACGCACGGATGCGCAGATGGCTATCGATAAAAAAGCATTGCCCGATAACGCTCGAAGGGCACACCTCGAGGCGGGAACACCTTGGAAATAAGCTTTATGGCCGTTTTTTTTTTTTTTTTTTTTGTCGAACCTTACCGACCGAACGTGGGATTTAATTGATTCGGTATATAATTCTTCCTGTCGTTGATGAAATTTTTTCCCAGCTTCACGCAAAGATACGGATCGGACTTTCCGCTGAGTGGGTCTTTCGGTTTCAAGTTGATGCCTGCGCGAAAGGTAAATTTGCTGAGAGCGTTCTCGACTTTTGAATATTTGAAAGTCTCTGACGACGAGAGAAATTGAATATACAGAAAATTATTGCGAGATAAAATGAGAAAAAAATGTTTCTGAAACCTCGTTCGTCGCATGTATAACGCGAAGACTAACCTTTTACAACGTAGAGTCGAACGATAAGCTTAACGGGCTCCTGAGGCGGATAATCTGTGCACAGACCATTAGCCGCGTCTCTGCCGCTTCTCGTTTTACATGGAACGCCGTCAGGATGTGGCCAGCGATATATCGAGATGTGTCCCTGTTAAGATATAAAACAGTCGCGTTTGACACGATAGTTATCGAGAATCCGCCGATTCCAGGATGTTGACCGAATTTAGACGCGTTTCAAGTAATTTGCGCCAAAAAAAGAAGAGATTAGATAAAAATCTCCAATTTCGAGATGTTGTTTTGTCGCAATAACAAATTTTACAAAGAGATAGAGAGAGAGAGAGAGAGAGAGAGAGAGTTCTTCTCTCGACAAGTCGAAGAATTTTTTTTTCTACCTTGAATTTTCCCGCGGGATTATCTCCGGCCTGATCGAAACTCTCGCTCTTTTTTCCTCGCCAGAACTCGAAAACGCTGAGTCGATCCTGGAACTTCTCGAATTGCGGCTGCATCTCCAGTTCCGTGGAATAGATCTGATTTCAACGATTTTCTCAAATAATACTCAGAGTTCTCGGGGAGCAAGTGCATTAAAGTGTACCTTGAACGTTGCCACGGGTTTGCGACGGAACGGTGTCGTGATTCCCAATTCCCTATTTCTCTCCTCCTGCAAATGGAACGCGACGTTCGTTCCGCTAATTTGCATTATCGGATATTCTCCGACTGCTAGTTGAGCACACGTTTGTCGCGCGAATGTCGTCGGAACAGACTCATTTGTCAATTTGTCGATTAACAATGGACGAAATAATACGACGAAATTTCGACCAAGTTGCGCGAAAATTTTGTGAAACGCAGTTTTTCGAGAAATTAAATGCTACGCCACGCGTGTTATGAATATTTCTGATATTAAAAATTTTCGCAACAGCGTGTTTTGTGTTCGTGTATCTCAAAAACTAATTTTCTCTCAAAATTAAAATTAAAATATTCATTTTGCGAGATTGTTATTCCATCAAAGTTCTCGCGAGGCGCGGGAGAAAAGAGGCTTTATTGATTATCTATGATACTTCGCGTATGTATTTTTCACAGTGCGAGAAGACAAATTTTTTAATGTAATGAATGTTTTCGTTTTGAACCCGATTCTTTTTAGTTGCACATTCTGTACATATGTACCTGAAGTGAAGCAAAATATTTACTCCACCAGTCGTGAGTTTCATCGCCGTCGTCCCCGTAGATTTCCGCTTCCTTCTTTCCGACAAAGAACTTGGATTTCAATATCTCCTTCGCGATTACGAGCGGTCCTTTCACTTTGAAGTAGATGTCCGCAGCCGCCATTCTCTTGTACGCAATAAGATCCTTGCTTTCTTCCTTTGACGGACTATAATCGATCGGCAAAGGTACTGTTTTCAAGAGAATTCATATAAAAAACGACTTTGTCCCGGAACTGTGTTTGTTATCTCTAACAAAAATTCGTAGATAATAATTTCTTATCACACAACACGAGTATATAGTTGTTCGAAGAAATAAATAACGCGCACTAACATACTACGGTCTTCGGCTGTTTCGCCAGCTGAAACTTTTCCATGAATTTTGACTCGTATATCCGCGCGTTGTAATCATCCACGGTTATTAATTGTTCCAGAAACACGCGAATGCTGGGTATAATGCAGATCCCGGCGTATTTGAAGCAGCCAAATCCACGGGAATCGTAAGCCTTTATAGTTATGCTTGGATAGTAGATTTCGAGCTCCGGCATTTCCTTGATGATTAATGCGTTTTAAAGCTTCGCCGTTAGCGCGGTACCGCGCGGATTTTCGCTTTCCGAGCGATGTGGGATTTCACATTGTGTTGTGAACGAAGTCGAAATTGCATTGATTGCACAAAAAGTAAATAAGTGTTCGATTTCGAGTGTTAAATTTGTTTGTTTTTTTTTTTTTTGTTTTTTTTTTGCACGCGATGCGACGTATTTGTTTGAAAAATATTTGTGAAAAAGAGAGATAACTCGCGCGTTATAATCGTTTCGCAATTACCAGCTCGATCATGACGTGCGGCTGCTCGAAGTTGCTGAATTTCCTCGCATTCCTCATCACCTCCGACTTGACGTGAACGCCGGAACATTCGACTATAATTCTCGGCCTGCGTACCGGCGTATAATTTATCTTCCTTATATCGCGGACACCCCAAAAAATCACCTCCATTCTGTACTTGGTCATTGTTGGTCTGATATCTGGGGGGATGCTGTAAATCTTATCCTCCTCCAACGTTTCTGGCGGAAAATCCATCGCCTCCTTGTTTTCCGTCTGATTTGGTACGTATGACGCATGTATATTTTATCGAGCGTCGCGCATAGGGTCATAAATTTTCTTATCTTCGAAAAATCAGAAAACCGACGGACATATGTGGGAAATGCGGGTCGGGAAAATTGAATAAAAACGCAAACAACGAGAAAAATAATATCGGTTGAAAATAAACGCGACCGGATGTTATGCGCGCAACGCAATATTTTTTTTTTCGAGAGAGAGAGAGATGTAAAAATCGACAACTAACTTCTATCAGTTCGAAAGCGGCGAGAATCGAACCGGTGGAGTCGTTTTGCGAGTGCAATTTGCACCATTTGAGCTTCGGCGGGAATTCAGGCGGCGAGTAGGTTTCCGTCGCGAGTTTCACCAGCGGTGCTACGACACATCTGCCGCAAAATTCTCTCGTTTCCTGAATTATTTTTCACACACAGACAATATTCGTATGTGTGTGTTATGTGCGATTAAGCTCGAGAGAACGTTATTCCGCTTACGTATAAATCCTGATCGAACGTTTGCAGAACGACTTCGGGTGGTGAGAATTTAATGTATTCCCTGGTACCGTGCAAGATAACCGGAGGAAAAATCAACGTCTGGTCCCAGAACGGATCCAAGCTTTGTTTTATTACCTACAAAAAAATCGGACGGATTATTCGTTCTTTCTCTCTTTCTTTCTCTCTTTTTCGCGTCGTAATAATTAAAAACTCAGAACGATGTTTACTTGTGTGGAAGCCGCGTATCCGTGAAAGACGACGCGCACGAACGAGTTCAGCAAACCGGAAGAGTTCGTTCCGGGATCGAAGCGACCTTGGAATATGTGAGCTCGCAATTGATACGCCTGTTAACGAGATCGTATTGCGTTGTCGCGAGAGATAAATTACAATTCTCGATGTGTGTGACATCGCGACAGCGGGTTTCTGAGATTGTAGTTTTCTCTCACCGACGATTGATTGTATTCGATATATTTCGGAAATTCGTCAATACGTTTGTCGTGATCGATCTCGTATCCCGGTGGCACGGCGCTCCAGCACGCGGTAACATATTTCGCGTTGCCGAGCCACAAAAAGACATCTGTCTTGCACGCGCAGTACTCGACGGTTTCGCTCTCATCTTCCGGATTTCTCGGGAAAAGACTGATCCGTCGTCCGCACTTTTCCCCGGTCTCGGCGACGTCTTCGGAGTAGATAATCTTATCCGCAGACAGTCGCGAGTACGCGACTCTTCTCGAACCGGCGATCATCCAGACGAAGACGTCTGGGAGGCTGTGCTGTGGCTAAAGAGTGAATATTCTCCTATTTTTCTTTTTTCTCTTTTTTTTTCTGTATTCCCCTCATGAGATTCTTTCCGAAAATAAATAAATAAATACTAATCCGGTGCGAACTTGGTGACTTTATTAAAATTTCATCTTTCCACCTCGTAAGGTAAAAAAAAAAGTAAAAAAAGAAGAACATTAGAATTACAGGCCAGATGATTCGGAACTCACGTCGTCGCACAGATTCCTCAACGTTTTCAAATATTGATACGCGTGGACCATCGCGATTCTCATGTAATTGTTATTGGGCAGTTCACCGTTCATCTTCATTCTCTTGAGAACGTTCTCGACGCCTCTTTGACACAGTTTCACACGATGACGATCGAGCCGAGTCGTTCCACCTTTGTCATCGTATTTGTTCGTATCCAATACGTGCAGATATCGCGCGCAGTGAACCTTCAACGCGCGCATCGTCTTATTGTAAGCTTCAAAGGCGATCGGACTCTCCACGGCCATGAGAGTCTCCAGTTCCTCCATTCTTGTCTCCTACGTAGTAGGATTTGCATTGTTATAAACTTGTACCAATCGCGCGAGTATTAAATAATCTGAGATCGGAATAACATTGATTGTTTTAATTGACTGTGAGAAAAACAAAATAATTGCAACGAACCAAAAAATTAGCGATGTAGCGGAGATTGTTGCTGTTGTGGATCCGCCATTCCAAATTCGGCCACCAAGACCTCACGTACAGGAAGGGCTTTCTGGAACCCAACGGCAAGTAATTATACTTGCCGTCCAGAGTACCGGTGGCTCGCGGAGTCGATTGACTCTCGCAGCTCAAACGCTTTTCCGGCAATTCATTTTCTACATATAAAATAGACGAGGGAAAGAATGAATATTTTAATTGGCGCATCTAAATGGCGCATTTCTAGAACGCGATGTCGATAAAAATAAAAAATGTATGCAGTACCCGATTCGACGTCGTTATTGTTCTCCACGCATTGGCTATGCGAGAACCGTTGATTGCCCGCATTCCCCAAACTCAATTCAAAGCTAATCAATTTTGACCTGAATCGAGAACGGTCGATCATACAAATGTCATAAAGCACTCCGACGAGAACGTATTCCTCGGTTGACCACAGGTTCTTCTAGATTTTTAACACAAAGAAGAAGAAAAAAGAAAAAATAACTTATTTCAAAAGAAAAACTTACTTCACAAAGGTAAAAAAAAAAAAAAAAAAAAAAACAGCGTACCGTTGACTTTTTTGTACATGCGAAATATTTCAAAGCGTCTTAAAACTATTTTCTATTCAACAAGAGGGAAATTTCAACTGCGAGTGTACCAACAATCGCGACAATAGAATCACATTGCGAATAAATCTAATCACTTCAATAATGGGAAATGCCGGGACTGTTCTGACTCCGATTCCGGGAGATGCTTCTGGGTCATCTATTTCAGTTTTCAACGACAGAAGCACCCTTCCGCGATACAAAGGCATCGCTGTCAAGCATTTGCTCGAGCAGCCATTTGTTTCCACCGCGCTGGATCCGTAAAAGTGGATGAAAGACGGTCCGTAAGTCGGTAGGAATCCTGTCGAAAATCCAAATGTTATTTTTCTTGTCACCTCTCGCGCAATCTTTCATACGTATGCACCGCGTCGCACTTTCGTTTATTGCTTTTTCCCGACGACGATTATTTGCATTTTCAAAAGGCTTTCAAAACGTCGGGAGAAAAATTACTTTTTGCGTAAAATCACAAAAAATTTAAAATTTAAAATTTTTCCATCATTTTTGATCAATTTCCTCTCTCTCTCTCTCTCTCTCTCTCACCGTATTCTTCGGAATTCGAAATCTTCGTTATATCCAAGATATAAACTGCCACGACGCAAGTCCGACAACTGTCGATACGATGCTTTATAATGATTCTCACGCGGCTGCAGAGAACGGGGAACATTTCTTTGAAAATAATAGCCTCGTGGAACTTCGGAGTATAGGTCTGCCATGTCTCGCTCGTCGACCCCTAAAAGCGCTATATGCTACTACTGTTTTATTGCGCATAAAAACAATTACAGCATACTACAGTATATTAAACTCCGACCTGAGTTCTTATTTTTTCTAAGATAAAAAAAAATAAAAATACGTATATGAAATGTTTGTGATATATCGCGCAGTTATATAAAGAGGAAAAGATAAAAGTGATATCATATATCGTAATTATATAAAGAAAAAAAGATAAAGGTATTCGAAGGTTTGTATTTCTATCTTTTTTGTATGACAAATCGAGAAGAAAATTGAAACGTACTTTTAGTCCGGCAAACGATATCTGCAAGTAAGGATTAATGTTTTCGAAATTGCTCTTCCTACACAAGCTGCTCATATCGGGTAAACCGTCGGCGCGATAAACAACGAAGATGTAGCGCGCGTATTGTCTAAAGAGCATAGTTCCCCTTCCGAAGGGTAACAACAGATTCCTATAATATTTATCTAAATATATATTCGCGTGCAAAATTGTATATAACACGCAAAATTATACGATGTGTGAAAAAACAACTTGTAAAAAATTAATTTACAAGTTTACAGATATCAATATCGCCACATCATTCAATATTGAAAGAAGATCGTACCCTTCGATATCATCTTCACCTTCGGTTTCTGGATGAACTTTGACTTTTCTACCCTTTTCGTTCACCGTAATATTACACTTCACGTAACCTTTCGGATATGCTGTTAGATCTTTCGGATCTGTTAACACAGCCCATTTATGGTAATATTGTCGGTCTGTAAAGAACAATGTTATCTGTCATCGCCAATATTGTGTACATCAATATTTTTTTTCACCAACACTTTTTATCTCTTTTTTGTTTTTTTCAAAAGAACAGTTCTTTTTCTAAACTACGTAAGATATAAAATTATATTTTGCCACTCATAAAATGTATAATAATTCTCTCCACTTGTTAATTGCAATAAATCGTGAAATTTTTTGTAATATAAAAACTTGCAAGATTTTTGCTCTTTATTTTTAATTAATTTGTTTTGCAACCTGGTTGTTCCCATACTGTTGCGACTTCGAAGGAAGTGCTTCCGTGGAACTTAAGACGTCGAAGGAAATTCCGCAGATACACCGTTATTGTGATTAGCGTATTTAGCAGACTGTCCTGACTGCACGTGAAGTCAAATACGAAATACTGCGCGTATGTTAAAGGGGAAAAAATAAATATTGTTTGAAATCATTAAAATGTGTAAATATACTCCCACTTCTCTTGACAAGTAAAATATAGTATCTGAACACTATACATTTCGAAAAATTAAAACAGAATCAAGAATCTTGATATTTTCCAAATGTTCCAGAAGTTTTTAATCATTCGTATTCTTCAAATATTAAAAAACTTTGTGAAAACCCTCTCGAAAGCTTAATTACGTCAATTAGAGAGAATGCAAAGTTTTGACAGATAATTATATACCTCATTATAAATAGGATTGTCGGACTTTTCCCGCATCACCGTCCTTCGCTTGCGATTTCCGACCTTAACGACGACCAGTGAGTTTGCATTTTGCGGTAAATACTTTGCCTCGAGAATAGTTACGCAAACTTGGTAAGTGGAGAATTTCGGTTTCAGAGGCATTGCGGCTGCGAAACCGACTCGCTGATGTTGGCCGCACGACATGCAGTTCATTTGTTTTAACTCTTGTTTATTAAATTATCCGAAATGTATATATATATTTTTTTAAGAGTATAAAAATGAACGGTAGATAAAAACGGGAAAAGGGGTTGATTCGTCTAGTTCGTGTGCACAAAACGTGGACATCGCGGCGCTCGTTGACTGGAACAGGTAAAATGCGCTTACGGCCGCTCTCAGATTCCTTTTCTATCTATGACTGGCAGTTCGTAGTTATATAATCAAAGGTCTGTGAACTCCGCCTTTTGTTATATCATAGCGTCATCTATTCTCCATATCTTTGCCCATGAATCACATAGTCACGCACCCGCGAATCAGTTCAACGGGTAAAGCGGGGATTTATGAAATCTCTCAAGAAGAAGACAGTTATCGAGATATTTCGAGAGCGCAACTTCACATGAGAAGATAAATTACTCTCGAAAGAATTATAATCAAGAGTGATGAAAACGCAAAGAGATTTCGCGTTCTCGATCGAAGATGACGCTAAAAAGAAGAAACAAATCTCCGCAGCGGAGATGAGACGAAACGAAATGGCGAAGCGATGTGATGACAAAATTGCGCGACGTCATTTACACGCGAAGCAAAGAGAAATTTGCAAGATAGAAGAGTTGTCACGCGTTCGAGAAACATTCGATCGGAAAGAAAGAGAAATCGAAATAACGCACAGATTGGCTGTTGAATTATCGCGGCGTAAAAGTAAATTTAAAAAATTACAAATAGAGGGGGAGAGACTTTTTTATACAATATAAGAGAAAATATCTAAATTATCAATTTTCCGCTGCAGACGAAGAAGTAAAACGTGATCGAAACTTGAACCGAATAAAATCGTCCTCACAATCGCTGTCAAATTGCGATCTAAGCGAAGCTCGATCGCGTCGTCTGATAGAAGAAGCGGTTCGCACGGAAGCGAAGCACGCGGAGTTATCGACATTTCCGAATCAAGATGTTACGCGACAGAAGGAAGAAGAAAGAAAGAAACGAGACCTGCGCGTTGGTCTGCAAAATCAAATAGCGCATAATCACCGACGAGCGCGAGAAACAGAAACGGAACAACAGGAAAAGCGTAAGACCAAAAACAATAGTAAGAACAAACCAAAAAAAAAAAAAAAAAAAAAGAAGTTAATAACGTGATCTTTCCGAGGGAAGATCTCGCGGCGTCCTTGGCGGCGAGGAACAAGTGGGAAAGAAAATACAGAAAAGCGTTGAGAGACGAAGACGAGATAATAACTCGTATGGTCGCGGAGAAGGAGGCTCGAGACAAAAAAACGCTTAATGAAAAAGTGAAGTCTAAATGATGGCCCGTTACGTTTTTTTTTGACTCGAAACAATACACGTAAACTTCATTCGTTTCTTTTTACTTCATATAGATAGAAGCGTGCGCGGTAATAAATGCGGCGATAGATAAGGCTACCAAAACATTTCTGGATAACGTCCAAAAACAGAGAACGAAAAGAAACTAGTGACGAAGTTCGTCGTGAGAAAAATGAAAGAAAAAAAATAAATAAGGCTATAATTAGCTCGTATAGACGATTTGCGATAAAATAAACAAAACGTCGTTACTTTTACGACGGAACTTACATCGAAACACACAAAAATAATATTATCACTAAAAAGTCACATAAAAATAATATTTTTACTGTGATGGAAGAATGGCTGTAATAAAGTCTGAAGCTTACGACCGCTCAATAACGTGAACGGAAGTGTCGACTCCAATATACGACACAATATATATATATATATATATATATAACACTTGCTCCTTGAATCGGTCGTAAACTCTTTTTGCTGTTTATCCACATTTTGTTTAGTATTTATTGGTATACAGGTATGTACAATGTCGCGACGGGAGAGACGCGTAATTTTTCTCCCGCGCGGAGCTTTCGTTATATTTGTACAAAGTCCGTGTAAAAATACAGCAGCCCCATTTTATATCAGTTACAAGTTTACGGTAATATACGCGATTAAAGTAATAATAATGATGATGATAATAATAATAATAATAATAATAATAACAGTCTCGCCTCGGACGTATCCAAATATTTCCGAAGTAGGTTCGAAATCGAGACCCAACTTGTGCCCTCGATTTTGTCGATCCGAATATATGTGTATTTTAAGTGTGTGTGTGTGTGTGTGTTGTCATTTGGCATGCGGAAACGCGCACAAACAGGCATATCCCGCCGTCTCTCGTCGCTAATTTCGTTAAATGGAACAAGAAGTATATACTCGAGAGCAGCTTAAAACGCGAGATTCTCTCTACGGTATTATGTAAGTTACGAGTTAATCAACCTTGATCTTGGCTAAAATCGCCACAGTCGCTCGGCGCTCTCATCGCTCGCAGATAAAAGAAAAAAAATCTGTGTTGTTCAGTGAATTACTTTTTTCGAGTGGTGTGACGCGCGCACATGGAAAAAGATTTTGCGCGCCTTCGAACGCACATGACCGGAAGAAACCGGCTGTTGTCTCGACTAAAAATATTCGCACTACAAAAGCTTTTAATACGCCATTTACTTTTTTTTGTCGATGTATAAAAAAAACAATATCTGTAAAAACATTTTGATTTTCTCATCGCTGCCTCTTTGACACATTAGTAGTTGCTTGTCGTTTATACTTTCCGCTACGTGAAGCGAAGCAATTAAACACGAATAATATCCTGTTAAAAAAAAAAAAAAAAAGAATTTCTATGCAATTTCTACGGTAGAAGAAACGTGTTATATATAATTAAAAAACGTGTGTGATATTTAAGGCTGACTTATATATCTCGACTTCTAAACTCTGTGTGTGAACACTTTAGGTTTTGCTTTGATTTTTCCCACAAATTGATTATTATTTCTTTCTTCTGGATCTTTCGACATCGTGTCTAACTGTAACGCTTCACGGTTCGAAAAAAATAGACTCATGTGTTTGTGTGTGTGTGTGTATTTTTCTCGTGAAGAAAAACAGCGCGAAAAACCTTTCTCCCGTGCATCGCGTCCTCTCTAACGCACTTACACATATTCCTTAAAATATGATCGTTACGGTTTGCGTTATTTTTTGCAAATTTGATTTATCCTCGCCCGCGACTGAATCTCTCTCTTTCTCTCTCTCTCTCTCGTTCTCTCGGTAGACAGATTTATACAGAGGTCAAACATCTACGATTTATCATCTAAGCGTTACGGAATCCGAACATTTTTGTCTATTTGCTTGATTCTACGTTCGAAGCTACGAGTTTCTCTTCCTTTCTCCTCTCTCTCTCTTGTTTTTTTCTTCTTGTTGTTGATTACAACACAAAACCTTTACGAGAAAAGCGAAATACGCACACTACTTGCTCGACGTATAATATATAAGTATATATCACAATATATGTATTATGTATAAGTTATACGCATATAAGATGCGACAGAGTATGTATGTGAACAGAGTTAAAACGGGTAACGTTTCTGAATTCTCGGGAGGGAAGGGGAAGGCGAACGAACGTTCGTCGCGTTCGCGCGTGAATTTGCGACAATCCTCGCGCAGCGACTAGGCACAACAAAGCAATTTTTACGCGACATGGCCACTGGCTTTTATATATATATGTATATATATATATATATATATATATACACATATGTATATTGTATATAACTGGTTAAAACCTCAAGAATCGACAAATTTCCGTAAGTTCTAATTTAAACGCTACACCGCTATGTGAAAATAATTTCCTTCTTCTTCTTCTCCGACTAAACAATTTAATTTCCTATGTATGTACTCAGAGTTTCAGAAACACGTCGATTAAATAAATATTTCTTTTTTTCTTTTTTTTTAAATTCGACGTTACAAAGAAATATTTATTTATTTTACAGCGCGTAACATGTACTCATGCGCGAATGTATATAAATGATTATGCGCAAATTGTTTTTTGAAAGTAATGTATTTCAAGTTTATCCAAGTATGTGTGTGCTCTGCTTGGCGTTCGCGGCATCGGTGTGATTGTAGATCACGAAAATAACGGCAATGCTGCGGGTTAGTTATAGTTGAGGTAAGAGAGAAATACACATATCTCTTAGCTCGATCTTAAGAGTAAGAGCACACGTTTTTCTTTGCGAGCAGTTAATTGTATATATCCACAAGTAAAAATAACATCACATCTTCTTACGAATTAAGTATGTAGAGTGTGTATATGTACATATATACGAGAATTTTCTTCTTGATGTTTTCGCCTGTGACCCTATCGACAGCAAATAACGAAATCATTCGCCAACTTGCGCGATACGATCACGTGTAACAACGTTAGAAGTACAGAGTTTTGCGGTGAAAACTCCCGGTTTATCCTATACGTACGCAACTATACGTATTTTGCGAGTTTTTTAATGATAAAATATATCAATTAAAATAGCAATATTACACACTAACAAATTAGGCTCCCGTTAACGAATAAACGTACAATATATAGCGCCGTCTAAGTTACGCGAGTTTCAATACCTGTTACATTTAATGTCTACGCACTCTTTGTCGCGAAACTTAAAAATATAATCTGTTTTAAAAAAAAAACTCAAAAAACAAAATTAATTAGCGACATTAGTTTTTCGTTTTAAACAATTTAGATAAAAACGATTAAATTTTTGCTCGTTAAATGGCAAGTTTGGAAACTAAACATACTACAATTTGTGTTAAATCACGCGAGTGTCAATTGTGAATAAGTTTTACTCAAATAGTTTCAAATCAGGTGAAACAAAATAAATCTGTCAGACCCTGTTTTTTAAATCGATAGTTAGTAATAAATATTTAGGTAAAGTTACTTTAGCTATACTTATAATTTAGGGTATTCTCTTCTTTTTTTCTCTGAATTATCCTCTTTTTCGGTAAAAAATAATAAAAAATACAACACCGCCAACGAGCGTATTGAACGTTATTAATGTTGTTATCCTTGAGTATCGATCCGAAACTCTTTTTCTGTTATTACGCTATACATGGTGACGACTCATGCGCATCTCTTAACGTAGTATCGGAGTATAAACGATATATGAGAAGTCGTCGATCGTATAAACGGATCTTTAAGGAGGATACATTAACCGTACTCATACGTGTTGGCTAATACAAAAAAAGCTAGCGGAGTCTCGGAGATCATCATCTCACACAACGAATCACGCGACGATCCCTGTAAATCCGACACTCGAAACGCGAACACGTGAATACTCTGTATCGAGATACACTTTTTTTTTTGGCTCGAGCACGCGAGCCGCGAGGAACTTAAATTTGGCAAATGCATTCGATAATGCGCTGCAAAAAGTATATATACACGTATATAGTCGATTAAGAAAAATCACACGTACAAGAAAATATATGTAAAAAATAAAATTACGTAAATTTACAATTTGCGTGGAATTAGATGCAAATCGAAAACTTAGGTACAATAATTATTATAAATAATATATAATTGTTAATAATAATTTTGTAACTTGATAAAATAATGAGCTTACAAAAGAAACGCGCTTTCGCAGTTTGCTCAATACATTTTCTTGCAATGATTGCGAAGTAAAATTTCCTCTTCTTATATCTTTTTATAACAAATTATAAAACATATATTCTCCCTCTCACGATTGTAAAGTAATTATTATGTAAAAATATGTAATGATGTCCGTCGTAATCCGAAGAAGAAAACAATAAATTATATCTAAGTTTATTTGATCATTATTAAATAATATCCTTCAGTGTGTCAAAGCTTTCAAAAAAACGAAAGAGCAAATAAAACGTGACTACTAGACGATTTCAGTTAATCCGCTTATCTTTCGCAAAGCGAAAACAGGAATGTCTGAGCGGTAAAATAGGTATATATATATATCTACAAGATTGCGAATTTTCCTGTTCTTTTGAGTAAGGGCATAAATACAATAGCACCATATCGGGATTAGAGGAATGATTGAGTATGTACGAAGTATCAAGGATCACACACACACAGAGCGTGTCTCCTAGTCGGTGGCAATCGCGAGTAAATGAAATCGATCGGATCAGGCGGAACAGGTGTGTCTCGCTCGTAAAAAAGAGATCCGCACTTTTGTGTGTACAGTCTTAAAAATATAAGCTGTTCGCCATTTCTCGCTCGATTTTCACGAACGTTGAATAACACGAGCGAGCTTCGATCCGACGAGATGCTTCACGAAACGCGATTAGGAATTGTCGACGATAGGAACCACGAGTGAACAATAACGTTACTTCAACGTTGCAGGCAAAGCGAACAAAAAAAAAAAAAAAATTCGATAATAGATTTCTGAGATAACCAGTTGTTTCATTTACGTCAGATCAGCTTTGATCGTGATGAGAATGAAATTCTAAAAGAATTGTGATTAGTTAATACATCAAGGCTCTGTGTAATTATTATTTTTGTTATCCTCTTACGACCGACATAATTGCCACACAATTAAACATCTCACTTGGATTGTTTTTCTTAAGAAAACCTCTTCTCTTAAGCGTCAGAAAGGAGAATACAGAATAACAGGCACGATGTAAAGAGACTCTTTTAAGATAAGAAGCATTACTTTCGTTACCCGACAATATACGGCGTTGTTTTTTTTTTGTTTTTTTCTTTTTTTTTTTTTTTTTTAGTATAATGCATGTCACAAATAGTTTACGCACTGATCCCTGAAAATTTAAAGCTACAATCGAAAACGGATCGTTAAGATTATAATCTGCTTTCATAGCGTAATTTCAAGGAGCATTAGGCGAGTAAAACAGCATTTAAATATATTTGCGGCACTTACGCCATTTGCTCCTAAACAGCGGATTTGGCCCCTTTCTTTGGAAGAAGAAAACTGGCTTATGATCGTTAGAAAAAAAGCGCGCGCGCGCGCACGCACCTACCGTACGTTTGCCGATCGAAGAGCAAATCTCGTTTTTCGCAAACGTTCATTGTATGTCGCCTATCAGAGCGCGATCGATCGCAAACGTACAATCGGTCGTCGCGCTGTCGCTTCGTTCTAAAGACAAGGAAAGGAAGAACAACGAGAATCAATGAATGCAACGTCACACTGACGTCTTGGCAGTTCGGCAAACAGTCGGAAACAAATAACGGATGAATCAAGACACCGACAAAAGCTCGGCAAATAAGCTAGATCCCACTTTCCTTTTGCGTTCCACAGGACGGGATTCACCCACACGCACGAGCTAATTATATATATAAATTACCATCCCGCGCGTGTTTTCTAAAGTTTACTATCTACTCTCGTTCTCTAGAAGAAGATGCACAATAGCTACTTAATGCGGCCGCAGCCTGTAACAAATTCAAATCTGTCCCATCCGAAAATCACGTGGTCACGTGTCCGAGAAGAGAAACTCGCTCTCGGACAGCAACACTTCCAGATCGGAGGGCACGGTGTGTAGATCGGAATTGGCTGGTTCTTGAAGATCGCTGCCGCTGTTCCCGATGCCGGTCGGCGCGATCTGCCGCGCTCTGCCGATTCTGACGCCGCGGTCTTTTCTCTTGGCGGTTCGCAGGAGCACTCCAGTTCTCGGCAGCTTCGCCGTTCGACTGCCGCTCGCGTTGACGTGATTTGTCGTCGCTGGTGCCTGCGCTACTTTGTCAGACTTGCGTAATTTCACGCTAAAGCGAAACGGCGGCTTGTACACCACTTGAAGCCTAGCGCGCTCCTTCCGTGCGAGCGAACCTGACGAGTTCTTCAGCTCCGTTCTTCCGGTTTCCGTGTTGGGTCGCCGCGCGCTCGTCAGAGGCTGTTGCCGCGATATCGGCGCTCTGGATACTACCGCCCCGCTAGTGGTCAAACCTACAGGAGTCGATTTGCTCTTTGGCAAACCGTTTATGTTGGTTCGCGCACCAGTCTCCGGTCGGCACTGCGAGGACGCGAGTAACCAGGAACGCACTTTACTCTTGGGATCTGCGTTCGGTTCTGGCTCTTTTTCCGTTTGGATTGCCGAGTAATCTATCACCTCCTTCCTATGTTGTTTCTTTCGTTTTCTCTTATCGTTATCTCCGCTGTTGCCGCTATTGTTATTGGCACTTTGTCCTTTGTCTCTCGTCGTTGATGTCTTTTTCCGTTTGTTTTCCTGCGCAGCAGCTGAAGTCTCAGCTGGTCTCTTTCGTGTCACGTCGTCCGCCTGTCCGGTGGATAATCTCTTCGTCTGCTGGATTTGCTGTTTCTTTTTCGTTACGTCCTTTAAGAGAGAAAATGGAATATTTGTTGTTGTAAATCTCACAACAAATCTCAATCTCACGCTTGAGATTGTTAACACGATAATGTAACTGCATATTACGATCCGTTATTCGATTTACCTTATTATTGGATTTGCTATCGGTGTGACCGTCTTTATGTTTGCGATGACGCCTCTTTTCTCTGACCTTCCTACTGAGGGGAAGCTTGGCGCGTACCGCCGGCGGGTGCACCGTCACTCCCTCCGCACCCTCCGGCGGAAGTCGCACAGTTTCCGTCGTGGAACTGTGAATTATCGTAACAGACTTTAATTTCAAGTCCGGTTGCTTGCCCAGAAATCTCATGCTGGCCACCTTGAAAACAAAAAAAAACAAAATATTTCCACGTTTACATGCATCATGTTTTTCATACGTAACGTGTGTATCTTTTTTCGTCAATATTTACAAAGTTTTTGATTGAATAAATTTACTTGACAATATAATTGCTACGAATATATATGAATTTTACATATTTGTGTTTTTTTCACAAAGTAACAAAGCCTACGGTAAATTTGAAATCACATATTGTTCCCAAAAAGCAATTATAGTTTTTATATGTATTCTAGCGCCTACAAAAAAAACTCGTTACTTCTACGTTATATTTTTACGTGTTACAGTTTCGCACAAATATACATAACCTAACCTACTTTACCACATCTTTAAACTTACTCTTGTTGCATTTCATTTTTTTCCTTAATCGATTCTGGCAATAAACATGTGTAGGATACATGAATATGTAGCATGACTCTCTGTATTTTCTCTCTTATTTGCACAAAAATATTAATAGAAGTTTTGATAAATTATATATGTTATTAATGAATAATTATAAATAATTTTATAATATTTATTCAATAATAATATATATTAATAAATAACAATCATAATTAATTAAAATCAAATATATTGCTTTCTCAATCGCAATTTAATTCGAATATTATACATACCAGCAATGTTATTGCCGCGAAAACGATCAGACCAGGAGCGTACCAGTGCTCGATGACCCACCGTCTGAAAGTAGCCAAACTCTCGTCGGATAATAAGAGCTTCCTCAAAGTTGCTAATGGACCGCTTGGATCGACCTGAATAAAACATTATCATTAATACCGTCTCCAGCTATCCGGATCGTATAATCGCTCGCGACCAAGTTTTTTACGTGCCTCGCGACATTTTTGAAAGACATCGCAGTAACCGTTGTAATCGTTGCACGGAGTACCCGGTTTCGAAAACATGTCGGGAATGTCGTACGGCGGTGAGTTCCAGTCGAATGACGATCTGCGAAGAAAAATATTTGATAGACAAATTTCACTTGTCGTAAAATGTAACAAAAGAAACTGTTACACAATAAATATACACATATAGCAAACGTACAAGCACGGTTGATTTTCGCCGGGGAGTCGGCAGCAGAGCTCGCAAGCCTTCGTCGACGGATCGTTCGGTCCCGGTATGCATTGGCATGATTCCAGTCCATATGCCAGGCAAATACTGCCGGTACACTCCTGTTGCGGATACAAATTTGCAACACGCACGTGAGAGACAAGCTCGTTTTCGTTAGCCAAATAAGAGCATTTAAAAAAAAAACAAAAATTAATATCTACCCCCATGAAGCAAACCAATTCGCGATTGCAGATGGTCTTGTTGGGTTTATTAATTGATGGCGGACAATACGGAGTACGACCGTCGCAGAAGCTGGCGTCGCGGCAGCCGTTGTCGTCCCTGCACTTCTCACTGAACCGGAGATTACACTCGGTGGTACAGCACGGGCCCTGCAAATAGGGAAACGAACGGAGCTGTCAGCGCGCAAAGTGTATCACGTCGTAATTGCATCATCGGAGAAGGGAAACGCACTCGTATATAAAGATTTTGTTTATTTTCCAGTTCAATTAAATCCTTACGCACTTTTAAGCGAAAAGATAACAAGATAAACGAACGTTCAAATATGCGGACGTTGGAGCAAGCAAACGAAATTTTAACGTTTCCGGGTTATCCAATATTTAATGCCTTCAAGATTGAAAAGCGAAGAGGAGACTTGGAAGCTTCCGAGTTTTAAAACTTTGAAGAGGGAAAGTCATACGGAAATTCCCACGACAATACCGGTGGGGGTCGCGCGTATTTTTTGCGGGCGTCATACATACTTGACTAGGACTGCACACAGAGCCCGGAGTGAGCGTGCACGGAGTCTCCTCGGGCGGCGGATAACGACGCTGAGGGAAGCAACACGAATCCCTGCAATCTTCCTCCCAGCCGCAGTCGCACTCTTCGCCCTCCTCCACCACGCCGTTGCCACACAGCGATACTTGCGGTTCTACAATTAACAATGCAACAGAGACACCCGAGCGTTGGGGTTAGAAGCGAACTCGAAATGGAAAATAATTGAAAGAGAGGATTAAATTGAGCGCGTTCTCGATCAATCTCCGCGCGCTTCTCTCGTCGCCGCGTGATGTATGTACACTGCAAAACTCACCGGTGAAGCATCCCTTTGGCGAGCGCGCCTTGCTGTTCAGCACGGGATTTATGGCGTTCAGACTGCAAGGGCTGAAACGGTTGTTGTTGCGTTTGTCGCCGCTGGTCGCCCGGGCGAACATTATAAAGTTGCCGTCCTCGCCGCCCGGTGTACATTGTTCCGGATCATGCTGGTTGCGAGAGAGAAAGAGAAACAAAGAAACGTTATGTAGCGCGTCGTCGTGTCGTTTGCTTATTGACGTGTACGGTGACATCAGCTTGCGCTCGCGGAACGCTCGCGTACACGGTCATTCATCCAAATGCGAGTCCTGTGACGGAAGTATAATATATACGTACCGGTGAACCGAAGTTGTGGCCGATCTCGTGAGCCAAAGTAACGTGAGAGACCGCAGGCGGTACGTGCTTCCCGTAATTTAATAGGGTCACTATGCCGGTGTTCAATGATTTCATGCTGCCGCGGTAATGCTGCAACGTTATTCCGTCGATTATTTTCCGTTAAAAAGTTCCACAATTTACGGCACGCTCGTACGGCCGGCGAATAGTCGCCGCGAAGCGACCGAGAAATTACATTTTTGTCGAGAAGTGGATTAGTCGATAAATTTTTCTCTACTTTTTTTTGTCTTTTTTCACCATGACATAGACGTATTGTGAGCACATCGGTTATCATCCGAACATTTTACGTCAATTTAACTCGATACAAGGGATTTTTTTTTTTTTTTTTGATTATACATGTCACTGCCAGGTGTTAAAAGAAAATTTATTGGATTTATAAAAAAACCTTTTATAGATTTATAAAATACTATATTATTTTTATATACAATATTCTATAGTTTTATAAAATTTTAAATGTTATCGATATATCGTAAATATTAAACTAAGAATAAAGAAAAAATTATAAATTGAAACTCAAGTCACAAAAGAATTGTACAAAAAACATTTAAAATTTAAAAGAATTAAAACATTGTTATTGTTATTATTTATCGTAGTTACCCCGTTTTTCTCGCATACGCCGCCGGCGTTCTTGAGATCGCCCGTCCACGCCAAGCCTAGAGTTCCCATTTCGAAATCTCGATACGTGAACATATACGCCAAACAAAACGCGTCGTAGTCTTCCTCTGTAACGAAGCAAATGTGTCCGAGTATCGTTTCAATGTGGTCCATTCTTTCGTTCTCGAATAATGACACTACGCGCACATCGAGTCTCAGCGGGAACAACCCAGCGAGATGTTTATTTTTTTTTACCTGAAAAGAGTTCCAGATATTTTTCTACGCCGTAATTTCCTGGAAAGCGATAATTAGGATCTCTCAAAGCGTCCTCGCTGTGCACCTTGACGCGTTTTATCATGAAGCTGATATTATCTGGTCGTCCGTCCTGATTGAAGTCTGAGGGAGAAAAAAAAAACACACATATAATACCGTTGATGATGTTCCAGTTTCACGTAAATTGCGTGTTTATCGAGACAGAATAATATTCAGTTCAATTTGTGTTGTTTCAGTCGTGCTTCTTGCCTCGTTGACAACTCCCACGCGATTTTCCTCCGTTCATTCTCCCCGGTCCATACAAACTGAGCAATTTGCGTGTAACGCACGATTCAATGTTAGTTACACATATAATGTATTTATTAAACGCAGCGCGACAATAACGTAAAATGTCGTACGTGGTAATAAAAAAACACAAGAGTTTTGCATTTTATATCAAATAACAATTTTATCGAGATAAAAATTATGTTATTTCAAACTTCGATTTTTTTTTGTTTTTAACAATCATACAATTATTCCGGGGAGTCTATACGGAGAGTTGCATTGTTTCTACGTTAACAGTATAGGTATTCTGTGATTTATCGTATCCACAATTTAATCTGTTCATTTGAGCAATCGCAACAATCGCTAACGTCGTAAATGAAAATTCACATGTTTTCAATAATTCGCGATCATGGAAATATTTTTATTTCAATTATTTACATTTAAAACGTGTAATTTCGTTTTCTCAATATGTTGCATGTAAGAAAAAAACAACCGTGCGAGAAAATCTAAAACATTTTCATGATTTCCCCGAAGTTACGCGGCGCGTTTCCTTGAATTTCCTCCCTTCTTTTTCCTCCTCTTGCTCGCCGATATTCGCGCAACACTTTAAATTATATTCTCCCGACGTTTTTCCCGGCGTTTCTCGATATTTTGCAATTTCCCTCCATAATTTTTCCCCGGGTGTTTCACACCGCCGCGTGTGTTGCTGCGGGTCTCTCTCTCTCTCGCACCGGCGAACCTGTTAGATCATTTTGTGCGCGTCGTGATACACATCGCTATGAGATGAACACCCACCCGTGTGTTTGTAGATGGAGTTGACTCGCTGCACGTGCCTCGTCATCACCTCGATGCAGGCTTCCTCCGTGCCGTATCGCGCGAAAAACTGATGATCCGCTTGCAAGTAGAGCATGCAAGTAGTTTTTCGGGGATCCACTGTTGCGCGCTTGTGCAGATGTCGCGCGATCCGATCTCTGTTGCTCGCGCTGGAGACACAGGAAAACAGAGGAAGAAGAAAATAAAGGTTCGCTTTGTCTGCAACTGTGCGCGGCGAAATGAAAAACCCTTGGCGCGCACACACACACGTTCGGCACACCTGAGTTCCCGACTTCTGATGTCAAAAAACGTCCGAAGTCTATTTTTACTCTGGCGATGTTCAATTTTGACCGCGCGCGCGTTTTTTTCGTACTCCAGACGAATACCGCGCACGTACTTCACCATCGATATGCGAACCGACCCCGAAACCATAAATCCGGCCGCACTTCGTACAATCAATTTTCCAATTTTATTTTCAATATAAAATTGTTCGATTTATGTTTATTTTTTATTTTTTTATTTTTTATTTTTTTATTTTTTTTTTATTTTTTATTCTATGTTTATTCTACGAAAAAGTAAAGTTGTCACGTTGAGTAATACAAGTGTCATGACACGAGTTGCGCGTTTTAAGATAAACAAGAAGGAAAATATCTGTGATAAATGTTTTGTTTTTTGTTTTTTACGGTATTTTAGTTTTCGTTGCATCGTTTTGGTTTTTTTTGATTTTTAGTTTTCAAATTTTTGTATTTCTCCAACAAATATCCCTGAGCGATGATTTTTCGCATATTTTATTTGAGTTGCAAATGGATTTTGCACGGAAAAATACAAGAATACTCACGCATCCGTGTATTCGACGTCATTATCCGTCTCTATCGTTAACACCCTCGCGTTGTTTTCCCTCGAATAGAGAGCAACGTGCTCGCCGAACAAGGGTTCGTAGAACGTCTGAGAGCTGTTATACCTGTACCTGGATAGAGGGAGAGAGAGAAACAGACATCGCACAAAGTTTAAATTTACATTCATAGTTTTCAGTATGAAGACTGACGCGAGACGTATAATATATGATAATTCTGACCGGCGGAAATTTCCTTATACACGTGTCTGAGTTATAGCGCGCCGAGTTCGGCTACGCGAACTTATACACTCTCTCTAGATATCTTCTCTTTTATCGTCCCCGTCCGTGCGAAATATATTTTCATCAAGTAGAACGGCGGAAGATGTACGTGTTTAAAAAGAATGTCTTAATAAAGATGTAGCGCTATTAAATCCTCCACTCAAGGCAATAACATGTAAAATATGACGTAATGAACTCTCTTCCTCTTAAGAAACTTAAAAAAGACAAAAACACATTTTAAAACTTTGCAACAATTATATCCGGCGGAACGAAAGTGACGTGAAACAAAATCTTGGATTAAAATCGGAAATTTCCGTAAACATCATTTCAACGAACGAAGGATCGCCCGAGAGACGGCACGAAAAATCACTCTCGGTGAGAATTTCAAATTCAGTTGCATAATTTTCGAGAAAAAACTCGTCCATATCATAACGCCGATCATACTGTTTACATCGATATTTCGTGAGAAAGAGATAGACACTCACCTATCCGTGGAATCACGAAGAGCACTCTCACGATGCAGCTGATGACTGGCACACGGTAATGGATGCGGCGGGGTGGTAACGTCGGAAGTACGATAAGCTATGGTGTGATAGGACGGCGACGTGTCTTCATTTTTATTCAAATACCTGCTCGTCGGCTCGATGTAATACTCTTCGAATCTGGTCACGACGCTGCCATCGAAGAGACCGTCTTCCGTAACGACGCCCTGTACCAAGGCGCTCTCGTCTTCTGCAAAGAGAAAAGAAGGAACGCGCTGTGGTCAATAAGAGGCAGGAAATCGAATCTATCGAAAAGAGAAAGATGTGACATCATCTTATCGATTATATTCCAAGTAAATTCATGACACTTGTTAACCCTTCATGGACAGACCTCAAAAATGACTTACAAAGTTGGACAGACTGAGTCTGTTAAACTTGTGCGACTTTAAAATCTCCGCGAGAAATCAATATTTTTTCAATTTTGTTTTTTTGAATCGAAAGTTTGTGCGACTCTGCGTTGATAAAAAAAAAAAAACAAATTGAAAAAATTTCTAGTAATCACGAAGATATAAGCGTTAAAAAAAAACTAATTTTTACTATAAACGCCGATGTGTAATTTTTGAGCGGGTCTGAGAGACTCGTGTCTATTCGTGAAGAATTTACACAAGTAAAAATATTTTAATAAATAAATAAAATATATATTGATATTATTTTATCTTAAATTACGATGTATTATTACGTTCGTATATATCGTGTGATAAAATAATACATCGCGTGTTATTTCACATGTTCGACATATTCGACGTGTGAAATAATACATCGTAATAAAATATCGTAATATAAAATACGTAATATAAACTAAAATAAGTCTATATACACTTATACATATATATAGACTCTTTTTCTCTAATAGTATTATTTTTCCCTACGGCAGTGTGCCTTTTAATCACGTTCTCGCAAGGATAACCGAGACCGCTAAACTCGTTATAATAGTTTCCGCAGAGACGGATTCGTGTTGAATGTATGCGATATATATAAGCCCCCCAAGCCACCACCTTTTAAATCTGCGAAAATACGAGAGAACGAACCGCGGCGGGCGGACTCTCTTTCCCACGGTGCATATAAAGTTATACCGTCGGGCTAATTATATTTGTAGAAGCCTTTATTCCGTGTCGCCGTGCTTTCATTATTTCTTATGAAATTTTTGCGACTTTGACCAAAGTTGGCCGCCGTGGTGGGAATATACGGCGGAGACAGAGAAAAAGAGGAGAGACAAGAAAGAAAGATACTCGGTACGCTAAACTTTTCGGACGGAATTAGAACGGATTGCGGGAGTATTTAGAATCCTGGAGAACAAGCGCCATAACTTTATTTCGCTTCGCGCACGCCGTGTAATTCCATCGAAGAGGCTCAACTTCCCTGAACAAAAAACGACAGATTTTCGCGGAAAATTCTTCGAAAATCGACAAGTTTATCGACGTGACGCGACAAGCAAAACCATTTCTTCTACTTGCCGTTTTACTGTTCGCTATATTGTCATTTATTTTGTGTGTGACTCGAATGATAATTTATAAATATAAATCTACAAAAATCTAAAGTATATATTTATATTTATAATTTTGTTTATTTTTATAACTCAAGTGAAAATTATAAATATACAAATGTCACACAAATTGTAACAACAACAAAACGTGCATCCTCTCTCTTTATAAATGTAAGAACACGCACTACGTACCAACTACGTACGCGAGCAAAACAATATTGACGACATCGTTCCGGAATTCATCCGGAAGAAGCTGCACGCACGAGAAAACTGTCGTGCGATATTTGTGTCGCCGTCTTCCAGAATATTTTCGCAAATAACGTCGTAGATTGAGAAAAGACCTCGGTCGGAACGCCCCGGAAAATCACGACCTCCCCGAGAAACGTTTCGCGGCACGAGTTTACCGAAGAGAGAGAGAGAGAGGGGGAGTGGTGGAAACGTGCGGGGTGAGATTCCAGGAATTCCAATCGTCAATCATAGACGATATTCCGAACTATTACTAAAGGAGAAGATAAATCGACTAAAGTGCTATCGTGAAGTCGGTGAAATTTACGGCCGCGTGTTACTTCCTACAAGTAATTGTTTGGGATTCCTTTGGTTTCTAGCGCGCGGTCGATCGGATAAATTCACCCTTCATGGTGTAATCGATATCCCGCGCCCAATCCCTTCTCGGATAAAAGGGGGACAATCACGAGAGAGAGCTTTTATATTTGGCGGAACAATTTGGCATTTTTAGCCGCTTACGTGCGAAAGGAAACAATTTGCTCGTAAACAAAAAGAAACACGCATATTTGACAGAGGCTAATGCATTGCCGATTTTTGTTTTTCGTCGCGTTTTTTTTTTCTTGATACTACTCCTTTGGAATACGTAAATTTATCTTTCAATTTAAAAAGAAAAACACGATGACGCACATTAATTAAATGTCCCGACGCGTCTAACGAATAGATGTGTGTAAACTCCAATTCTGACTAAAAAAAACAAAAGATACACTTAAACAAACACTTAAATAAATAATGAGGATTAACTCGAATACATACTCGTGTTCGTTAGAATATTGCACATTTGCTTTGTTAATAAATAATATGATAAGTGCAGTTCGATTTGAAGCAGCACATTTGTACAATACGTATGTAAATGTGCTTTATCTTTAATTATAATTTATCATTTATCACATTTATCAACAAAGCAAATGTGTGTGTATACACACATATACATACACACACATCGTTTATCCTAATAGAATAAAAATCTCCCGACGTGTATCACATCACGCCATCTTCGCTAAAGATGCGACTCCGAAACATTCTTGGCTGAGATACCGGCTGGTTATTTCGAGACACCGTGAAGACAATTACTCCGCGGTCTCGAAGCCGCAAGAACGTCATCGATTAGCGCCGAAGAAGAGACAGCGATATCGAGAGACGCCCGGCGAATTCCAGATGCGGCGGAAAATTTCGTCTTTTTTTTTCTCTCCATCCTAGAAATAAACCCCCACGAGAGGAACTCCACTCGCGCGGTCTTCCAATCTACGAGTTTTCCACGGCTAATTCGATCCCGTTTCTCGCGGATAGCTTAAGCGTGAACGGCGATTCCCCGCGGACGAGTTGAAACGTAATCGATGTGCGGCGGCGTCTCTTTTCTCTCCTGTACTCCGGGCGAGAGATCGTCGATGAAAAGTAGACCTCCCGCGAGAGATGTTTCATTGACGAAAGAGAGCGAAAGAGACCGGAACGAAAAACCGCGGGTAGTGGGTAAACCGACACAGAGAAAATGTGAGAAAAAAACCTGAGCTAGTCGTCGGATTAAATACGATAGCGTCGATTTTTTGACACAAGTCAACGTCAAAAATTTTCCGCGATTTGCAAACAAAACTGCGCGTCTGTGTCGATCAATAAAGCGCGAATCATAACGCAAAACGTAAATTTAGTTCTCTTTCTTTGGTACATACGGTAGTGGGTTTAAAAAGTATTTGTACACCCACATTTAATAATAATGCACATAATGATTTTTGGATTGTATGTCTTATAATGAAGTTGGAAATTTAGCATTTATCGAAGAAATTACGAATGCTCGAATGCATATGTGTCGCGAGATAATTTAATACAAATTGCAAGATTAAAAACTTGTTTCGTATTAAAAAACTTTAAGAGAATTGTGTATTTCCTATGTGTAAAAACGCAAGTGTACAAATACTTTTTTAACATTCGAATTTATGTTATTTCCTTTATTAATTGTTTGTAACGCATTAGTAAACAATGTTACTCAGCACATTATCTCAGAACATAATCGACTTAATTAATGAATACTGATTTTGTTAATGTATCATTTGTTTGTATAAACATATCACACAAAGATCAGGTGCACAAATACTTTTTGAATCCACTCTAAGATAATATAGAAATGCAATTTGTTGCTATAAATTTAGTAAATTCCGTTTCCTCTCTTACTGCATCAAGATTAAGACGTTATTACGTTTCTACAGAAAAGAAGAAGAGAGAACGAAAAAAAAATCATTACAAGCGGTAGCCTAACGAACATTCGCGCTTTTGATAGCGTTTCGTCAGCTTTTTTCACGTTTGACCGCTCAAAGCGCGCAACTTAATCCCCGACGAGCAAGCGTGAGAAGCCACACAGGTGAGAGAAGCAGACGAGAGAAGGATTCTTTTTTCGCGAACAAATAGAGAAAGATAAACTCAAAGGAAACGCAAGAGAAAATGTGTTAATTACACACGATAATTAACAAATATCCTAGGAAAATCACGCGCCAGACACGATTGCGCGCAGTGCGACGGATGTTCAGAAGAACAGAAAGGAAATCACGATGTTAAACAAATATTTTACTTTTTCAGCAAAAAGATAAGATAACAAAGATAATTACGTAGTGTATAATTAATACATACATTAAGAAACTAGCAAGCGATTATAAAGCGGGCGATGTAGAAGCAGGGAAATAATAACCTGAAAAACAGGAAAATCGTGAAAATGGTCGGAAAGGATATTTTTCTTCCACGATGAAAGATAAAGAGAGATATTTTTTCAATGTAATATCGTATGATATAACACGGACCGCTTGATTAATACGCGATGATAAAAGCGGAGTTGTAAGAAAGGATTTTTTTTTTCCCCAAGAAACGGAAGGATACTGGTGTTTCGTTTCGCGAGACAAAAGAGAGAAGTTAAATGCAAACAGCATGACAATTAATGAAAATATTAAAGAGAATAGTGACTGCGAGGTGGTTTAAAAAAAAAAAAAAAAAAAAAAAATCGAAATAAAACAATTATATGAATACTGAAACACAGACGGGCAATAAGGGTTTGGGGCGGGAAACAACGCGGAAAGGTGGACAAAAGCACGGGAATTATGAAACTGTCCGCGTATAACCGCGCGGCTACGTCCTTTTGATAGCTTTTGTCCGTGAACGACCGCGAGACAAAGAAAAAAGAGAAGAGACCCGACGAAGGAAAGAAAGAATCTGTACCCCGTGGCTTAATCGAGTCTCATCCCGACGCGACAGTTTGGACAGGCGTAAAGCGGATAAAGTAGATCGTCGACGGGGAAAACAAAGAAAAATTGATATAAATGTGGAGCACGCTAGACCGCGTTGAAGACGTGTGTATATATACGCGAGAGAAAACATATACACGTAGCGAGGAAGGGAAAAACGTGCGAGAGAGCAGAGAGGCGCGCGTATGTACGCGGATAAAA